TTAGATACATATGATGCACGATCCTCATTTATCACTTTCACGGGTTTATTACGAATCAACTCAACGGCCTGTTCCCAGTTGGCTTGTTAGCTCAATTGGTAGAGCGCTGCACTGGTATCGCAGAGGTCAGTGGTTCGAATCCCGTACAGGCCTGATTTTTTTCAGGTCTGATTTTCGCTATTGCTTAAATAGCGCTATCTACTGCGAGGATCGTGCATCATATGTAAACGACACTAAGGAATGCGTGACGATATGTCATTGCGGGAGTTCGTGATACTTCCTTATCTAATTACCACAATTATCGCTTTGGCTAGAGCCTCACCTTCTTTCAAAGAAGCAGCATGACACTTCTCGCGATCGCAACCTCCAGGTTTTTTTCACTTTGCGAACTTTTCCTTCGGTAGAAACGTGTCTCTTTGTTCACTAGGTTAGAAATATCAACTTCTCCTCTTTTATTATTACCACTTGCATAATTTGGTTAAGATGATAACAGTACTAAGAAGGTATGATGAAACTTTTTAAATTGCAGACGATTTGTGTCTTTGTCAGATATTTTAAAATCAGAACTTGAAATATCCTATATTATCAGGTCAGGCATTCCTTCCACCTTCCCCGTACATAGTAAAGGCTTAAAATAAGAGTCTGAATAAGAAAAATTACGTAAACTCGGCTCTTCATGTTACAATTCTTGTTTACATCAACAAATTTATCAAAATACATCGAAATGAAAACTGCCTTTTTTATTGATCCTCTAACTTCCCAATAGACGGCAGTGCAAATCCAGCTCACTATCTAATACGTGCTCTTCACAATGTTCAGCCTTTATACTTGCTTTGTGTTCACCGCCCAAAGCCCAGTTGAATTCCCTGTCTTCCTCTACGTCTTAAGTCGGAAACTTGTCAAATTCTTCTAAGATGGGGCAAACCTCCTGGACTGATCTTCAACTGTGATAAAATGAGGTTTTAGTTCTCTAATTTTTGCACGTTTCCGGCGTTGGGTTTTTGAGGTCAGTTCGTTCCTATCTCGTTTTTCACTTTGGATGAGTCGGAAAAATTCACTTTTGGATTACACTGATATATTGTTTTTTTCAGCGACGTCCACGAGTTTAGCATCATATGAAACACTGGAGGAAAAATACTTGGAGGAGCTTTTAATTGCTCTTTGGCCGCGTTAATAGGTATTGAATTGTTTAGACTGTACAAGCTGGCAAGCAGTTTTCCGGCTATTCACTATTCACAACGAGATCTGTTACTTCGAGAACATCAAATAATTCCTCTACTTTTCCGCCTAGATCAACTGCAGTGTTTCTGAATTGAGAATTATTATCCTCAAACATAAAGAAAAACGTTCTACGTTCTGTTTTTGAAGTTAGGGAAGAGCTAATTAGATAATAATAATAATAATAATAATAATAATAATGACCTTATTAGTATACTTCCACATAGTGGCTCTTCGCTACTAATATAAAAACTAACTATATGCATAATACTTACAATAAATCAAAATTGATAAAATAGTGAATAATAAAAACTATACTAGATTATCCATTGCATGTCAGTATGTGTCTCTTAAGATTTATACAAAAAAGCGCATGGTCACTGCAATTCCTTAGCTCCCGAGGAAGCTTATTAAAAGCTTCTGCAGCTTGATCTTGTAGAGTGATCTTCTCAATTTTGTTGGCAAGTTCTAATTTTGGTGCAGCTAATGACCTAAGACTATAACAATTTACGACGTGTTGCTTGAGTTTTAGTGGAAAGTCCTCATTGTATAATGACTTGTGCGCTAGCTTAGCTATATTAAATTCAAAACGCTCTTTGATTGTGAGCCAACCTGGGTTTCTAACATCCTGGAGTCCAGCAAATTTAGTTAACACAAAACCCGCACACGTATTCTGTACTCTTTGAAGGCGTTTGGTCTGGTACTCTGGGAGAGGACTAAACACAACGTTGCAATAATCCAGTTTAGAGACTATAAGACTTTCCACCATTCGTTTTCTTATGTGGTATGGTGCGAATTTTTTTAGTTTCCGTAGTACTGCTAGAGCACCATAACACGATGACAACAGATTCGTTATGTGTTCTTGCCATGTTAGTTCCTGATCCAGATAAACTCCAAAAGCTTGGTGCTTGAGACTTTCTCAAGTTTAGTGTCACCGCAGTATACATCTGCAGAAAAATCATTTAAAGAGTGTGCGTGCGTCAATTGTCTTGTCGAGAGAAGCATCCATTTCTTTTTTCCTGAATTCAACGCCACATTGGACGATTCAGAGTAACTGCTCAGGCCTCTTATTGTCTGATTAGCATCCTTTATGCACGCCTCTACTTCATGCGGCTTCGAGTGGTGAAGCAACGTGGTATGATCAGCATATTGGAAGCATTTGCAACTTAACTTTTTCTGGAGGTCTGCTACATAGATATTGAAAATTAACGGTCCTAAGATCGATCCTTGAGGGACGCCGAAGCACGTTTCCAACCGCTGAGAACGCTTGTCATCTAGCATTACATACTGTTGTCTGCCCGTGAGATAGGAGGTCATCCAGGTTAGAAAATCCTTTGAAAAACCCATTGAGTGCATTTTATAAATAACTGACTTGAAGTTCACAGTATCAAAAGCTTTCGAGTAATCTGCAAGAATCATGAGAGTTACTTCGCCGCGACGCATTGCACGTGTAATATCGTCTCTAATCCCCAGTAATGTTGTGGCCGTTGAGTGATTCTTTCTAAATCCTGAGATGTTTTCACCAAAAAGTGCTCTTTCTTCAATGAATCCAATTGTCGGATGGGCTACCAGCCTTTCAAAGATTTTGGACAGGGCTGGGAGGATGGATACAGGTRGATAGTCATGTTTAGCCATTGGTTGATCTATCTTTGGTATTGGTGAGATTCGCACCACCTTCCAGTCAATAGGGAAATAATTATTTCTGATACAGTAGTTAATTATATGTGTGAGGGGACCTGCTAACAGCTCTGCAACTGGTTTCAAAAACTTCACTGGGATATTATCTGGACCTGTTGAACTGTCCGTTCTTAGTAATGTGATTTCACGTAAGACCTCTACATGGGTTACCTCGCGTAGCTTGAAAGGGGCGGAGTCGCTAACATCACCCAGTGAATTTACCAGATATAATAGGTCATCGACAGAGTCCCCTGAAGATTTCCCTAAGGTTCTCTCTGCTGTGGTAGCGAAGAATGAGTTGAGCTCATCAGGATCGGCCATGAGTGGCTTAGTACTGGGATGCAGCACTCTGTGAATTGTACGCCAGATTTCTTTTGGTCGCTTTGAAGAAAACGCGTTATCAAAGAACGATTTCTTAGCCTGCCTTATCTTAGTTTTCAGAGTGTTCCGAGTAGTACGAAATGCCTCCCATATATTGTTGTCATTTGATTCATGTGCTCTTTTGCGTAACTTATTGCGTTGGGTCTGCAGCTCACGGATTTCGTGATCAGCTATCCAAGGAGCGGGTGGACGTGTAACTTTCACTCTTCTTAGAGGAGCATGTGTTTCAATGCATTCTGTAACTAGAGAGTTAAGCGTTGTAACCATACCATCTGGACATCCCACGCCATAAACAATATTTAGAGGCAAGGCTGAAAAGTCCTCTTTATACGATCGCGAGTTAAGATTCTTTTCGTTTCGAATAAACTTGTAGCGTGGGAGAAATCTTGTAATACGCATACTGATGGTAGCATAAGGCGCATCATGATCACTGATAGTGGGGCATGGCAGAACGTCTGTGTATGATACTTTGGAAGGCGAATTTGAAATCAGATGGTCAATCAGAGACTTTGAAGTCCATGTAGTTCTAGTGGGTTTAGTGACATGGTTAGTTAGATTTAACTCTTTGAGTATATCCATATATTAGCGGGTGATGTTATCTTCTTTGTCAAGCAAGTTGATGTTGATGTCGCCAGTTACAATTAATAATCCGTCCCAAGTAGAGACAATCTGGGACAAAAGATCCTCAAAACAGCAGAGCCAGTCACGGGTGTCCATTGTCAGATTAGACCTATAGATCGTCCCTACAAGTAACTTGCTGTTCTTATTCCGACCTTCGCATTCCAGTCATAAGTGCTCAAAGTCCGATTGCAGCCTTTCGATGTCCTTTCGGCGCTTGAACTTGAGATTATCTCGTATATAAGCTCCAACACCGCCGCCTTTCCTTTTTTGTCTATTTCTATAGGTTGCGGTAAAACCCGGTATATAGACGTGTTGCAGTAAGAGTGGATTGTCATTAAGCCAGGTTTCAGACAACATGACAACATCAAAAGGATAGTCGTTCATTAGCAACTGCAGCTTGTCGAATGTTGATGTCATGCACTGTGTGTTCAAATGCATAAGCGACAAGTGGGAAGGGTTAGCAGTAAGCGCAGACAGATGTATGCTCTCATCGCATGTTTTTAGAGCACCAGCATCCGACTGGGATTCATCTAATATATTCCTCTGTCCATAGAATGGTAATTCTGTTAAACTACATTTTGGACAAGTCCATGAAACAGGCTCATTTCCACCGCTGAGAGATTTATAAAATGCAGCGGATACTACACATCGAGCATGCGTGAGGCTTCTACACACTTCGCATCCAAAGCGCTTTTGATTTCGTTTCACTGTTTTGTCGCATTGAAAACATGATTGTGCAGACGATCCATTCAGCCGAGTAGACAATGAATGTTGACGCCGTGGAGAACAATTAGTTCACTCACCGGAACCGCTTGTATTGTTTCTAGGGCCAGGGTTAAGTTTAAATACCAAGTCCCCTTCTAGAATACAGTGGAATGTACGCTTAGCCGAACTAGTGCTCACACTCAATTGTTTTTCATTCGGAAACAACTTCTTCAAACAAACCAATGGTGTAGCCATGGGCACCAAAATGGGACCTAGCTATGCCAATCTTTTTGTGGGTTTTGTCGAACATCAATTTTTCAGCCAATACAACGGGTCCAAACCTGAACTCTACGGTCGCTACATCGACGACTGTATCGGCGCTACCTCCTCTACCAGAGAGGAGCTCACTCAATTCATAACTGCAGTCAATTCTTTTCACCCGGCTCTGAAATATACTTGGGAAATTTCTGACAATTCTTTATCCTTTTTAGACGTCAAAGTTTCAATTGAAGGTAACGGTTTATGCACTAGTGTGTATTACAAACCTACAGACTCGCATAATTACTTGTTATATTCGTCTTCGCATCCATCTCACGTTAAGAATTCCATTCCTTTTTCTCAGTTTCTAAGACTTCGTCGTTTATGTAGTAATGACTCTGATTTTCACCACAAATCAGAGTCAATGTGCCAGTTCTTCGATAAACGTGGTTACCCTGTTTCCGTCGTTCAAGCGGGTTACCACCGCGCTCAACTTATTGATCGACATTCAGCACTACAAACGTCGCATAAGGAAGATTCCGACCGCATTCCATTCACTCTCACGTTTCACCCTCACAACCACTCAGTTAAATCCATCATTCTTAAAAACTTTAAATTACTTCAAAACGATCCAGAGACAAGCACTATCTTTTCGCAGCCTCCGCTCATTTCATTCAAACGCGACAAAAACATAGGCAATTTTTTGGTCAGAAGTTCTTTTCAGACTAATGACCAACCAGGCACTTTTAAATGCGCTCGTGCACGATGCAAAACGTGTCCTTTCATTCACAACACTGATAAAATATCGGGACCTAAACGATCCATTAAGATCACCGATCACTTCACGTGCACCTCCGCCAATGTAATCTATTGCATAACTTGCACTTATTGCAAAAAGATATACATCGGCGAAACAGGCAGAAGATTAGGTGACCGATTCCGAGAACACCTTCGAGACGTGGAAAGGAATGACAAGGACACATCGAAACCAGTCGCTAGACACTTGAATTTACCTAATCATTCTAAGCAACATATGGCAATCTGCGGTCTTTCATTACACTTAGGCAGCACGGAAAGCGTAAAAATCTTGAACAAAAGCTCATCTTTCAAACCGGCAGTCTAAATCCCACAGGGATCAACGAACGCTTTTCATTCCACTAATTTATTCTTGTTTTTCTCGTTTCCACGTTCCCACCAATAACGTTGCTCCATTCTCTGCCTTTAAAAGCACACACAACCCACAATTCCCCTATTCGCTCCGACGAAGGGCTAACGCTCGAAACGTCAGCTTTTGGAATCGTTACAGTGGCCAATTTACCACTTCAACTTTGTTGATATATCCAAATTAGAGTAATACATGCACGGGCGTTTGTTCCGTTTGATCTTCACTACGAAAATTAAGCGTTTAGCAGTAAATTGCCCAACACCATGACAATAGATGACATCGCTCTGACAGGACTGACAAGACAATGGATAGAAATGACTGGAATCCGAGGCATCCTTGAGAAAACTAACGTCTAAAGTTGCAGAGCGTGACAAACCCGCAAACCAAAGGTTTAAACTTGGTATATCCAACGAAATTGCAGCATTTCCTGACGAAAACGACCTCCATGCTGAACGTCGAGTGTTTAAAGGCCCATTAAATTGGCATACGTGCCCACATGACCCTGAAGACAATTGTGCATTGTTATTGTGGTTGTTTCCTTTGTTCCCTTTGATCAGCAGAAATGCCGTCTCCCAAGGAATAGTCGACCATGAGCTATCCAAAATCCGCTTTAAAGGCGAGACCAAGCCAGTTTCCTGATAAAAAATCCTTTCCAAAGATCCAGCCATCGGTTAAAAAACAGTCCCTCATGCTTAGAAGCGCAGTAGGAGCATGATACGAGAAGGCAAAAGAGCAAAATTGGGGAACCTGTGAACAGACGTCTGACCCTCATTACGAATTCACGAAAAAAAAAATGCTATGTTACCTTCAAAGTTGCCGCTTTGTGCCTTGCTACCGCTGAAGCTTCCATTTTCAGAAAGGACCACTTTGTCATTGTCCTCACAACCTTCAGCGCTAGAAGTTTCTACTTCTTGTTCTTTAGAAGCTCTATGCTCAGGCGAGAGTGGTGCAGTGTTTCAGCT